TGAGAAGTCTTACACTTTGAGAGTTTCGGTAGATAAAAAGTCACATCTTGTGACCTACCACCAACTTAAAACATGGAAATTCCATCCCTCTACACATCTCTCCTGAAAAGAAAACCAGTCTTGGGGACTACCTAAGTGCTCAATCTGTACTTGTGGAGGGAGAAAGGAGGAAGCATTGATTTACGGGTAATTGCCCTTCTCGAAGAAGTAAAAAGTCCCTCTTACTGTCCTAGGGTAGATGCTTCAAGACAATACTCATATCTAGATGACAAGGATGGGAGCGGGGGGGGGTGGCAGAAGGCTCTGTCTGGATGTACATATCACATCTGTGTGCATAGGTACACAATATGTGTGAACAGTTGAAAAAGAAGCCTTCATTTTCATACCCCGAACTCTTTCACCCACAGCAATCTGGTGTCTTGAAGACGTTTAAGTTCTGTGGGCTCAATACACAGTAAAGGTTACATCTCAGGCAGCGTAGCTCACTGTAGCACTAAAAATAGCAGGAATTCAATAAATCTGCTAAAGGGATAGGTGGCCAGACCAAAATACAAACACAAGTGACCCATTAAAGGAACAAGAAAAATAAAGAGAAGTGGGGCATGGGCTTTTCCTATACATAGGCAAGGCTCAGGGTTTATATCTTTGCATAAATCCAATGCACTGGTAAGATCATTCATGCAAAGCAAAATGGTACAGGTCTCTAATACCAGCACTTGGGAGACCAACACAGGAAAATTGTGAAATTGTAGGTAGCTAGACTATATTGCAAGATTTGTCTCAAAAGGGAAACAAAGGAAAAAAAAAACAGACAACATTCATGCCAGGGCTTTAAGAACAGGCAAGGGTGAATAAAGCCTGGGGTTTAGACACCTATTTAACATGTGAACTTTAGTGTGTAAGAAGAAAGTTTACACTCGTGCAGATAAGCATAGTGATATGTCTCCTCCCTGCCTTTAAAGTTTTCAGAGAAACACACCTACACTTCCATATGTCACACATGCGCATGCACAAAGGACCATGTATATGTATCAGAGAACTTCAACACTTAGTTCCCAGCTCCCTGGATGACTATTTTCTCAGCTGTAAACCACCTTTCCTCAGCAGAACACCCACAGCACAATGCATGGCACAAGCGAGAGCAATCAACATGTGGTAACTGAATTGTTTCGTAGATTCATGATGACAAGGCTCACTCTCCTGTAATCCATGCATATAGGAGTTGTTTCTAGAATTCACAACTCCAATATGCTATGGGTAGGGGAGAAGGAGCCATTCATTATATGTGCCAAGGCTTTTCTCTTCTCTTTGTTATATATACTTTTTTATACACATGTTACCTTCATGTCCTCATCAAGTGTGGGATGAGAAGCTATGGGAGAGACGAGATGAGGTTCTCCTTTCCTTTCCTTTCCTTTCTTTTCCTTTCCTTCCCTTTCCCTTTCCTTTCCACCCCCTCTTCTGACTTAATGCAGTGATTCTAAAACTTGAATGATCATCAGAGTCAACTGGATGGCTCCAAAGAATATAAACTGCTATGTTTTATGACTTGATAGGTCAGGAGTGGAATTCCATACTTTCAACTATTTCCCATGTGATCCTGATGCTGCTGCTTCAGTGATCACACTTTCAGGATCACCAATGTAAATGGTCATTCAAAACATGAAGCATCTGGAGACAGTGGCACACATCTGTATCCCAATGCTCAGAGTCTGAGGAAGGAGGATCAATCAGGAGATCAAGGCCAGTCTGGAATACACAACAAGTTCCAAATCAGTCTAGACTACTTAGCAAGACTTCATCTGAATAAAAAAAATGTGATATAAAACAACTCCTTTTAATATGGATGAGTGGATGAGATGCACTTTTCTTTTTGGCTCTCCTGTTGCCCAGGCCAGGCTGCAACTCTGTGTAGCTAAGGGGAACCTAGGGAGATGGGTATGGGAGAATTAGTTTGAGGGACAGAGTTACACAATAAAATCTTGTCCGTGAATGTGAGTGGTGGTGGTAGTAGAGGGGAAGTCCCTCAGCCTACTGGTCTGCATGCTGAGAGCAGGAGAGGGATGGCACAATAGGTTCCATATTCTCCCTTCCTGTGAATGAGTGAGTGAGTGAGTGAGTGAGTGAGTGAGTGAGTAGGTGGGTGAGTGAGTGAGTTGGTGGGTGGGTGAGTGAGTGAGTGGGTGCCTGTGTGCTTGCGTGCATGCCTGCATGGAGTCATTCCTCTCTTCCCATCTTCTTGAGGTGAGGCCCTCTTATTTCAGCCATGCTCTGTACTCCAGGCTAGCTATCCGGGAAGCTTCTATGTCATTTTGCTATCTCCTGCTCCCTGCTCACCACTCCTGTTCCATTCTCCCATCTCACTGGTTCACTGGCCAAGAAAAGCTGAGGTTACAACTGTGCACCAGCATCTCGGACTTTTTAACTTGGTTTCTGGAAATTGAAGTCAGGTCATGAGGCCACATGAATACCAATTCTGTCCACTGAGTCATCTATGTTTTGAAACAGTTAGACTCTTTGACTCTTTAAACTCATTATTCAAACTGATGCTTTACTAAGTTATTTTGAATTGTTATTTGTGGATATTCAGTAAAACAGAAAACTTCTGGACAGGCAACCACAGGCATGGTTGGAAGCCATACTCCATTATCCAGCTGTGAGATTTCTCTGTCATTTAACCTCTGGGGATTACAAGAACTCCACCTGGATACAAATGATATTATTAATCTATAAACTATCTTGTTTTGCTTTTTTGTTGTTTTCAACTAAAATATTTGCCCATTTCTCTCTCTCTCTCTCATCTCTCCAGCCATTCCCAGACCTCCCTAAAATGCATGGCCTCTTGTTCTTCAATTCTTCTTACATATATAATTACATGCATACAAAACTTTAGTCTTTGATTTTTACTACCTCACTCCAATGAGAGTGAGGCCACAGTGTTACTGTCTCAGTGCTGGTTCTGAAGCCAGAGTATTCCATATACTACTGCCCAGTGCTCTCCATTAAGCCCCATCTCCACCCAAATGAGACTTCACCAGTACGTGGTCTCTTTTTCCCTTTCTGCCATGCTTCTTCCTTCCTCTCTCTCTCCTTGATCCTCTGTTCTTTCCTCCTTCATCTCCCCATCTTTGTCCTTGGAAGGCATGAAATTGTCTCAGAGCCAGGTCTGGGGGTATTAATAGGTCAAACTATATCATAGAGTGATTGCTCTGTAGATAACAACCTTCATGCTTAAAAATCTGTGGCAATGGCCATGACCCAGAGGGAACAGCGCTGACAGTCAGAGGAGAAGGGAAGGTGGCCTTTTTTGATATTTACAGTTTTTATTTAATATTTACAATTAACTGAGAGGAAAAGGAAATGACAGGAAAATTTTGCACCTGGAAAGACTTCACATCAAATAGACGCTCAGTGTTACAAATAGAACTGTGTCCTTGGATGGATAAGAAGTCCTGTCATCCAAGGACAGGCTTAAGAAATACTGTTCTCTCCAGCTTTGTGTGGGTGGGCTGCAATTCACACTGAGCATGAACTACAACTCACTAGCAATGGTAACTTCTGCAAAAGAAATTACTCTTTCTGGATAATAATTACAGAACATTCTTGACGGGGGTATAGCTCAGTGTAGACACTTGCCTTCTATACCCAAGGGCCTAGATTCAATTCTCAGCACTGGGGTTAGAAGGAGGAGGAGGGAAAGAGGAAAAGAAGGGGAAAGAGGAAGAAGATCAAGAGAAGGAAGAAGAGGAGGAGGCAGAAAGCATTTCCACCCAGGGACAAAGGATTAGAATGGATGAGCAAAGGAGAAGACCCTGCTTGTATAGTTCTGTACATTATATTTAACTTTCCTTGTCCTTGTCCAGCAAAGCATTACCACCTATACCCAAGACTGACACCCCTGTCTAAGATTTAAGTATGCATCTGCCCCCATGAAAAGTTTACATGGACATATTCTCTCAGACAAAACTTCTACATATGCAAAATGGTATCTTTCCCAAATAATACTTGAGAGTCTGTGTGGGCCTGATGCATGTTTATAAGGTAGCAAGAAGGCTGGGATCTGATGTGTGTGCACACATGTTGAAAGAGCATACAATGGATGGGGACACTTCATTCCTTTCCAATGCCTTTAGTCAGTTCAAAGCTGTGGCACAGAGGTGATCATCAAAGGTAAAAAAATGGGTTGCCTGAGCAACAGCACATAATGTGTGCTCCTCATTACGTGATCTGACACATAGCAAGCTGGGAATTGAGAAAGCTCATGCTCAGACAGAAGTAGAAGCATGGCTACAGGACATGATGAAGTTCATTCTCCCATCAGAGAATGTGTAGAACAAGGTCTGGCACCTAAAAACACAATCAAACATTGGGAAGGAGAAGGAAAGGTGGCCGATGGGATGTACAGGTATGGGCCTACGCGCAGACAAGGCTCAGCCTCTTTGAATCCTTGAACAGGTGTGTTGCACTGAAGCAGCACTCACACCTAGGTTCCAAGGATTCGAGAGGAGGAGCAAGCAAGAGGCTCAGGGACCTGCCCTTCCTGTGTGTATGTGTGTGCACACACATATGCATGCGTGTAGCCAAAACAAAAGAGCTTGTTCTGTATAGTGTCATTTATGACTACCCAGACAAACAGAATGTTCTCTCCCTCTGAACTCCATGTGACTGCAAAATAGCATTGGGAATAAGAAGTCCACACTGTGACCCACGCACTCTTAAAGCATGTAGATGCAATAGCTGATCAAGAATTCCATTCATCCACCTCAACTGTAAGCTCCACAAGGGTAAGGCCAGAGTACATCTTGTTTGCAACTCTACACTTGTTGCCAAGTTTAGAATCCCAGATAGAAGTGGTGGTCAATATGCTTTTTTAGAATACACAAAAGGAGAATAGAGAGGTGTTCTGTCCTTTACACACACAAAGCTCTGGCTCTCAGAATCCTTGCCCAGTTTCAGATAGTATTCTCACCCAGGTAGAAAGATCAGAGAACAGAAGTAGGGCAAAAGGTTTGAAGCAAAGTAATGCATGGTCCTCATTTATGATGAGAAAGAAGACAAGGCTTTTGAGCTTCACATTAAAGATGTCTAGGGGAGGAAGGGGCTGGGGACATGGCTCAGGTTACTACCTGAGTATACTTAGTGCAGTCATAAGGACATGAGTTCAATTCCCAAGCCAGGCATGGTGGTGACCTTGTAACCATAGCATTGGGGAAGCAAAGAAAGGTGGATTCCTTGGCCTAACTTCAGGTCCTAATGAGAGACTTCTTCAAAAAAAAACAGGGAAGATGTCTAACGAAAAGTACCTGAGGTGAACCCTGACCCCCCCTGCCTGCCTGCCTCTCCCTCCCTCCTTCTCTTGCTTGCTCTCTCTCCCTCTCCCTCTCCCTCTCCCTGTCTCTTTTTCTTTTCTCTCTCTCTCTCTCTCTCTCTCTCTCTCTCTCTCTCTCTCTCTCACACACACACACACACACACACACACACACACACAAACAGAGTGGGGAGGGAGAGACAGAGAAACAAGATGTTTAAATAAACACATTTTTTTTTGGTTTTTCGAGACAGGATTTCCCTGTGTAGCTTTGGAGCCTATCCTGGCACTCTCTCTGGCGACCAGGCGGGCCTCGAACTCACAGAGATTTGCCTGCCTCTGCCTCCCGAGTGCTGGGATTAAAGGCGTGCGCCACCAATGCCCAGCAATAAATGCATATTTTATTCTGAGATAACAACAAAAAATATTAAGCCAGAGATACAAAAACCAAAAAAGAGAGAGGGGGGCAGAGGACATATATTGTAGAACAAGGTGGCAGTATGTACAGATTAGCATCGTTACCTTTAACACACATCAGAATCTAGTTAAAGTCAATCCAGTTACCTGGAGGACTTGGTAATAAGACAGCTTATAGAGACATTTCTCATTTGGAAAGTGTTGGGGTGATGTTGGTGCCTATACTCTGGGGGCCTCACCAGTATCATGGGTATGGTGGGAAAATTATGGACTTGTATTGGTATCTACAAACCCTGGTTCGAATCTACACATCAGCATATACTGGATTAAAGAATCAATCTGCTTTTCCCATGTCATGGACTACTTCTGAAAAATGGGAATAACAAATTCTATGCCTTTAAAGAGTAGCAAGAAAATGAAGGAAAATGCAAACCTGGAGTACAGCATAGTACCTGGCACATGGCTATTATTTTTACTTCTTATGCTCCCATTTTTGTGTATATGTGTCTGACTGAATATGCTTTTTAACATAGTATTGTCATACCCATACATGCAAAACTTGTGTGGAAGAGGTATAACTACTTGTGACTGGGAGAACCTGCAGAGGGCAATGCAATGACCGACTCTCTGGTAATTCTTCCTCAATCCTCCTAAATCAATGAAGTTCACAACCCTTCATATGAGGGATGTGAAAGACAACATCACAAGTTTCACTCTCCTAGTGTGTGTCACAGAGAAGGTAAGAGGGAGGGAGGAGAGGTAGAAAAGGAGAGAGGAAGGAAAGAGAGAATATAAATTAATGATAGAGAATAAGCCATTTGCCCTATGAGTATCAAACAAACAACAAAAGAAGCCTTGCATTCTCACAAGCCTGTACATGCTATACATAGCTATATGTAGTCCTCTTTCATATTTATTCCCCTATCTATCCAGATAATGCATGAGCACATATATGACTCTATGTATGTATAAAAGTAACAGACAGTATTAGCAAACAAGTATACCACCATCCTCCAACAGCTACATCAGAGATGAAAATCAGGATATCCCATTGTCTTTCCTGGAAGGTGTGAGAGAACGAAGTTAGGGTAATATGACTCTGTTCCTGCTTACCTGTCAGCAGGACTCTGCATATACAGGTCCGCATCCCCTATGTGTGTTGAGGAATGGGGTTTGATACTTAGGAGGTGGAGGCCAGAATAAGTCAATTCATTCTGCACCATCCCAAGCATGTATGTAGACCTACAGTGATAATGATTTTCACCATTGACTCCACACATCAGCAAACTGGCATAGAATAGGAACCATAGTCATACACCACATGATGCTTTGGTAAACCAGACTACATATACAACAGTAGTTTCATAAGATGACATCACCCAGTGATACCACATCCCTACTAGTTTAAATATACACTCCTGTGGTGGTTTGAATGAAATTGACCCTCACAGGCTCATATATTTGTGTGCTTAGTCCCTAGTAGGTAGAACTGTTTTGGGAAGCATTAGGTGTAGCTTTGTTGGCGGAGCTGTGGACTTTAAGCTTTAAAAAAATCCCACTTCCACTCCAGGCCCAATCTCTCTCTCTCTCTCTCTCTCTCTCTCTCTCTCTCTCTCTCTCTCTCTCTCTGTCTGTCTCTCTCTCTTTCTCTCTCTCTCTCTGTCACGCTCTTGTGCACCTCTCTCTCTTCTCTCCCCCCTCTCCTACCCATCTCTCCCTCTACCAGCAATTTGCAGATAAGATGTAAGCACGCAGCTCCTGCCCTGACACCATGCCTGTCTGTCTCCTGCCATGATGGTCATGGACTCGACCTTTGAAATTTTAATAAGCCCCTAATTAAATGCTTTCCTTTATAAGTTGCCTGGGTTATGGTGTCTCTTCACAGCAATATAGAACAGTAACTATGACAGCTCCATTAACATTCGCATAATGACAAAATCACCTAACAACCAGATTTCTCAGAAATTCCCATTGTTAAGCAATGCATAACCATAAATGCACACAGACAGGCAAGAGAGGGAGGTAATATACAGATACCCTTTCCCTGCCATCTTTAAATAAGGCTCATCTTCCCCATGAATCCCAGCTCCATGTACTGCACACAGAAAGAACTAGCAGCAGGTATCACAGGGAAGGAGCAAACAAAAGGTTGGATCCCATGGGCTGCCTGGAGAAATTAAGACAAAATTCACTTTCTACAGCCCCTGACCACATGAAAGAAGGCACATGAGAATAAGCAATTTTTTTCCCAAATACAAGCTTACCACACAGTACATTCATAACCCCTCGTGCTTTGCCTACTTTTGAATATGCAAATCCAAGAGATTCTCAAAAGCCTCTGTGGAAGAAACGAGTTAAGGTGATAAACACATGTTTTCGTCTCTGTGCAGAAGATGCTTGCTCTCTGTGAGTTCTTGCCCAGGTACTGTACACTGGGAAAGTGCCTCTATCAAGGTGTTAAGGGTTAAAGGGGTAGTACCAAGACATGTATACAATTCATTCATGAGAAAGAAGGAAAAGAAGTCTATTTTTGACTCATTCTCTCATTCTTCACATCCAATATCAGGAAATCCAAATGGCTCTACCTTTAAAGTACATTCATATCCAACTATAGTTTTATAACCTTCACCATCACCACTTCCTAGTCAGCTTCTGGATTTTTTGCCCTTATTCTCCTTATGTGCCACACCACAGTCAGAACTCATTCTGTGAAACAACCCCCCCAATAACTCTTTGAATTGTGAAGGAGAACTTGGGCTGGATAATGTATTTTATCCATTATTAACAGTATCAAGACAAAGCCACTGTCTTAGTTAGGGTTCCTATTGCTATGAAGAGACACCATGACCAAGGCAACTCTTATAAGTAAAAATGTTTAAATGGGGTCACTTGCTTACACTTTCATAGGTTTGGTCTGATACCATCATGATATGACACGATCGTGTGCAGGCAGACATAGTGCTAGAGGAGCTGAGAGTCCTACATCTTGACCCGAAGGCAACAGGAAGTGCACTGGGATACTGGGGGTGGCTTGAGCATATATGAATGAGACTTCAGAGTCCACCCCCACAGTGGCACACTTCCTCCAACAAGGTCATGCCTACTCCAATAAAGACACACTTCCTAGTAGTGCCACTCCCTATTAGTTTATGGGGATCAATTACATTCAAACTACCACAGGAACTATCAAACATTTTGCTGCTGCTGTTGCTCTGATCATGAAGAAGCCTAAAAACTACCAATCCAGATGCAATGAGCAACTTGATGCCTGTATAATATAGGAACTCCAAATATGTTGTCTGACTCAAAGAAACAAATGCTGCATGAAGATGTCAGATGTCAGTTGTGGAAGAAGAGATGATGACAATGAGTAGAAAGTATTTTTGCATCCCTGAAGGCAGAGAAGTTATCAAATAACTACTAGAGCCAAAGGACTGAAGACCAATTTTGTTTGGCTTTTTGAGATAGGGTCTCATGTAGCCTATATTGGCTTTGAACTCACTATGTAGCCCATGGTGGTCTCAAAGTTGCAATGATATTCCTGCCTCTATACCCTAAAGTACAGGATTACAGACACAAGACACCATAATTGAAGAAGTTCACACTGGCAGAAGATGGAACATTTGGGTCGCACTGGGTAGAAAAACTGCAATGAATGAAAAACTAAATAGATTTAAATCCATGTGCTCATCAAAAATAGATTTTGAAAAAATTGTCCTTGCAATATGCTAGTGAACAAACTCATTATTTATAGTTCTGATAAGAGAATCAAGCATTTACCCTGTCTTTCTTATAAAAACTGTACTAGCAGGAAATCAAACAGTAAATGAGGGAAAGTATTACTTTACAGATATAACCCAGCTATTAAAGGGAGACTGAATAATGGAATTAGAATGCCTTTATTTTACAACTGCCAATGAAATAATGGCTCTAGAATTTGAGCATCAATGGCAAACTAACACACAGAGAGACCCAGTGTCTCTTAATGGAGACACAGTCCTTCCCTCCCTCCAAATTAAGCCTAACTCTAATCAGGCCTTTAGATACAACTCTCAATTAATTGGAAATACAAAGAAAAGGAGCATGGAAACCACATCAGAGGAATGTGCTCATAAAAATCCCATACTGTAGAAAACCATGGAGATATGTGGCCTACTTTCTTCCAGCAAATAATTATAAGGAAAGAAAAATATGGAGGGGTCTTATAATTCAAAGGCACTTAAAATACCTGTCAATCAAGTCAATGCAAGGACCTTATTTAGATCCTAGTTTATTGTATCTCTGAAAGAAATGGAAATTTGGGCAATGAATATGTGATGTCAAAGAATTGTTGGTAATTATTTTTAAACACAACAATGGCACAATGGCTTATTTTTAAGAACAGCCCTTACCTTGGACAGATTCACACTAATCATCAATTCTGTTTCCTCCATCTATGACTGAACCCTCCACTTATGCTTCTGTTTCTATGGCTTTGTTGTTCTCAGAATGTAGTAAACCTTTCCTGAAGACCCTATTTGAAACTGAAACTACATCACTTTTCCCACTAATACTGCCCCATACATTCTATACGCTTTTCTTACTTTTTCATTCTCTAGGGCACTTATCACCAAATGACACATCTTGTGATTTACTCATTTGGTTCACTGCCTTCTTCTCCCTACTAGGGCAGAGACTGTCTTGGTTCATGGCGTATGCATGGTGAAGTACCCAGAGTAAAGAAGATAGCTCAGCAAGCATTTGGTGAATAGCCCATCACACAAATCAGCTGTAAAGCCTAGTTCTGAAACAAAAATGAGAAAAAGCTCAAATCTTGAAGAGAAAAAAATCAATATTAAACAAAAAATACCCAAATAAACGTCTAAAAGCCATCATACATTTCCCTGTGCATATACATGTCCATGTGGGAAGGTGTGGCATAGTGAGGCAATTCCATTCCCTGAAATCTAATATACATGTGAATGAATTTATCAAAAGAAGCAGGTGCAAATTCCCTCACAGCGGAGGTTTGGGAGTATTAGCTAGAGGGCTTTCTTTCCATCATACCCCATGTGTGAAGAGTTCTGAGAAGTCTGTCTCTACTCCCCTATATAAAGGAAAGACAGGACTGGGTCAAAAGACTTCTCTTCTTTCTAGGCTATTAACTGTCTCTGAAGGTGAGGGTCCACACTCTGTGTGAATAAAATAAAATAAAATAAAATAAAATGGTAAGAGGACTGGAAATGTTACTCAGTTTCATAGAATTCACTAAGCCCCGTGTTCGATCCCCAGGTGTGCTGGGACATGCCTACAAACCTAGCCTTTACGAGGTGGAGGAGAAAAAATCAGAAGAGCAAGGTCAAGCCAGGCATAGCCATTCAAGCCTTTAATGCCAGCACTCAGGTGGATCTCTGTGAGTTCGAGGCCAGCCTGGTCTACAGAGTGAGTTCCAGGACAGGCTCCAAAGCTACATAGGGAAACCCTATCTCAAAAGAGAAACCCAAAAACAAACAAAAAACAAAAACAGAAGTGCAAGGGCCATCATCCTCAGCTGTGCAGGAGGTTCAAGAACAGCATGAGACGCATAAGGCCCTGCCTCAAGGAAAAAAAAAGTGAGAGCAGTCTTCTCTGGCAAGATATGTACATGGCTGAGTTCAGGGAAAGGACAGAGGGCTGTTCCTTTGGGTGTGTATGTTTTCCTTTTGTGAAGTTGTGGCTATGCATATATGCACCATGCGCAAGAGAGCAAGGAAAGCTGAAGCTCACCATCCTGCAAACCCTGCATGTGGGAGGGGTTTTCCGAGAGCTCACCCTCCACCATGCAAGGGATGTGAGAGAGGGAGCAGGGAAGGGCTCACTCTCTTGGCATCACATGTGGGTACTGGGGATGGACCAAGCAGTAGAAAGTAGCCCAGGGATTGAGGGATTGCACACAAACAGCAAACCAGCTACGTGAAAATTGATGGTGGGTAAGGCAGGTGAGGCGCGAGCATGCATGCACACACACACCCACACACACACACACACACACACACACACACACACACACACATGCTGACCAAGCAGGGCACACACAGAGTCAGGAAAGTCACCAGGAAGGGATGGCAAGTGGTAATGGTGTATGTACATACATCCCGCAGGCAGAGCATTATGAGAGAAGAGCTACATGCCTTTGGTGCAGATGTATATGCACTCGTGCCTGTGCACAGGAGAGAGAAGAGAGGCTTGCTCTCCTGCAAACCTTGGGTGTGGGAGGGTAATTAGGATGTTAACGGTCCTACACTCAAGGCATGAAAGAGAAAAAGCAAATCTGTAGGCTTGCTCTCCTGTGTACGCATCAGCATGCAGGTACATGGGTGTCTGTGTGTGGTGTGTGGGGTCCTGAAAGGTGTGATGACTGCCCAAGACACAAAGCAATGAGACTCTTCTCATTTGTGTATATTCACATATATATCTTTAGGAATGTACACTTTTTCTAGGGACTATTGTGGTGATATGATTTAATAATGCCACTGGGGATCAGCATGCAAAGGTAGCCGAAGCCATAGAGCCAGGCAGTGGTGATACATACCTTTAATCCTAGCAGGCATACTAGCCAGCCACAGAGTCCAGGCAGTGGTGGTACACACCTTTAATCCCTGCACTTGGGAGGCAGAGTCACGTGGATTTCTTTGAGTCCAAGACCATCCTGGACTACACGTGAATCAGAGCTCATGCCTTTAATCCCAGGATTTAAGAGGTATAAAAGGAAAAAGGAAAGGGTCTTATGTGATATTTAGTGTCCAGATAGGGACAGCATAGCATTGCACTCTGAGGATTTGTGGAGCCAGGAACACCCATTCAGTCTGAGGTAGAGATAAGAACTCTCTAGTAGGTGGCTGCTTTGCTTTTCTGATCTTCAGCTTGAACCCCAATATCAGTCTCCAGTGGTATATTATTTGCGTTACAGACTATTTGTTTTTATAGTCTTTTTATTTCTTTTCTTTTTTATTCCTAATGCCAGTCTATAATTCACTCTTGGCAGAGTATTAAGTATTTTTCATATATAATTAAAGTGTTCTCACAAATATCTGTGAAGTAATGATCATCTCCCCTGTTCTACAGATGAAATAATACTGGGCCATATATAAAGGACAAATAAATAGCAATAACAGTTAGGATCCTATCTGGGTGTGATAGTACACACCCCCATAATCTCAGCACTAGGAGGCTGAAGCAGGTGGATGGCAAGTTGGAGGCCAGTCTGCTTCACATTGTGTGATCCTGCCTCAAAATAAAATAAAAATCAACAAACAAAAAAGAAAGCTAAGGATCTGTAATGTAAGCCATTATAAATAGAAACTGAAAAGTAGGCTATATCTCCTGATCATATTTATGTGCACACACACAAGAGCTAGAGCACAAGATCTTACCCTGTTAAGCCCAGGGAAGAGGTAATGTAGGTAGAAGTAATGGCGGTGGTGAGAAGTGGCTATGTGAGATACAATCACCTTAGACACACATTTCAAAAGTGCAGCCAACTACATTTTATAAATGCCTTGGCCTTGAAGAGTAAAACAATAAATAAATGTCAAATGTTAAGTCCAGAGATTTTAGCCTATTTAAACATTCTGCAACCTTGCCTTGAGAAACTGGGGAATGCAATTTGAGTTATACAACACTGGAGGAGGAAGGAGTTGGTCTTTTTGAAAGACAAAGGAAGAAAATGAGGAGTTAGATTTTGGAGGCATTAAATTTTTACATACTTATTAGACATCTGGGGCAGATGTCCAGTATACAAAAACATGAAATTCAGCAACATAAATATGAAAGCCATCTATCTATACAGGAGGTATTTACAGCTGCAAGGCCAGAATAGCTGAAGACTGATGAGAAGTGGAAAGAAGTCCAAAGCTATGGTAGTATCTTATCAACTTGGATTCAGAATCAATCACCTAGGAGAAGCATCACCAGGCATGTCTATGACAGTGTTTCTACAGAGGCTAAACTGAGGAGAGAAGAGCCAACCTGAATGTGGGTTGAACCATCCTGTGGGCTGGGGTTGTAAAATGAATAAAAAGGAGAAAGAAAGCTTTGTTTCCTGAATGTAGATGTAATGTGATCAGGTGCCTGATGCCCCTGCCACCACGTATTCCCTACCATGATTGACTGTATACCCTCAAACCATGAACCAAAGTAAACCCTTTCTTTAAATTGCTTGTGTCAGGTACTTTGTCACAACAAGAAAAGTAACTAATATACCCCATCTCACTAATGTTTAGAATTCAAGGGCAGTAGCCGGGCATAGGTGGCGCATGCCTTTAATCCCAGCACTCAGGAGGCAGAGGCAGGGGATCTCTGTGAGTTCGAGGTCAGCCTGCTCTACAAGAGCTAGTTCCAGGACAGGCTCCAAAGCTACATAGAGAAACCCTGCCTCCAAAAAAAAAAAAAAAAAAAAAACTCTTAAAATACGATTGAGTCGAGAGAAGAATACAGGAGAGCAAGAAAAGAGATACCTTAAGAGGGAGCCATTACAAATTTAAAGAGAAATCTGGCACTAGGTAAATGTCTAGCGATCCATAAGGATGACCCCAACTAAGAATCTAAGCAATAGTAGAGAGGTTTCCTTAAATGCCCTTCCCCTATAATGAGATTGATGACTACCTTAAATGCTATCCTAGAGCCTTCATCCAGTAACTGATAGAAACAGAAGCAGAGATTCACAGCTAAGGTCTGAGCCAAACTCCTGGAATCCAGGGCCTCACCCTCCCTGGGGAGTAGATGGGGGTGGAATGGAGGGGCATGGAATGACAGGACAGAGAGGGAACTAGGATCGGTATGTAAAATAATACTGTCTCTAATTTAAGTAAAAATTTATTGTAAAAAAACTCAAGATAATGGTGTACCCAGAATCAGGAGTACCCTAAATTAAGACATTTAGGACTTGATACATATAATATAATCACTTACCGAAAAGCTAAGACCCAGCCCAATTTGAAGACTTTCTAATACAATGAGGACAGAATTACCCCCAGATAAAAGGATATGCTGACCTGGAACAACTCACACAAACTGGTAGGTAAAAAAATACAAGAATTTAGAACTACCTGCTATAAACAAAATGGGTTGGAGTAAAGAACAACCAAGCACATGGGAAAGACCATATGTCAAGAGAAGGTGATAGAATGCTAGAGGGTAAGGCTGGGCTACAGCAAATGCAAAGGCACTAAAAAAACCAGTTTTGCAACAGCAGATGTTCTTCCAGGGAGGAGAAGGTGAAAAAGGTCAAAGCCATGTTGCAGTCTTTAGGTGCTATGATAGGGATAAGGAGCTGGAGTATCACTATGATAAGCAACCACTTAGAGAAGGACTTTCAGATGGTTTGCTATTGCTCTTAATAGATAAGTCCATTTGAATGTGAAGAGAAATACAATAAAAACTAACTTCCATTCACATATCTATGGAGTTTACTGCTTGGATAAGACTAAAAATCAATAGTATAACTTTTTTTGGTTTTTCAAGACAGGGTTTCTCTGTGTAGCTTTGGAGCCTATCCTGGCACTCACTCTGGAGACCAGGCTGGCCTGGAACTCACAGAGATCCGCCTGCCTCTGCCTCCCGAGTGCTGGGATTAAAGGCATGAGACACCAACGCCCAGCCAATAGTGTAACTTTTAAATGACTGATTTAAAATCAGTTATTCAAGCAAGGCACCTAGTCCAGATGGGCAAAAGGATTCTGATGACAGTATGAAAATGATCAGGCTGGGTGTGAGAGAGCTATAGGCAATGGGTAGTTTTTAAATTGGAAAATAAATTGTTCCTTCAGGAAGTTAAATCTAGCAGCCAGTAGGAATACAAGCATGCACTAGGAAGATTAGAAAACAATCCTCACAATCTACTGATAAGAGAGATCAGGAATGTTTCAGGAGATTTCAGAAACTCATTCCTGAACTGGCAACTCATTCTGCCCAGTTTTATGAAGATGAATTTTGCAATAGTCCTTGGAATAAAGCCTGAATAAAGATGGTAGTCAAACCAATATAACCAAGAAGAGTGTTTAGTATACTTTCAATGATCTACAGACCTTGAATGGTCAGGCTTGAACATACTTACAGAAGAAAATGCCAAAGACAGGGCTGAAGAGATGGCTCAGCAGTTACTTGAGCATTTACTGCCCAAACATGAAGACCAAACTTTGGGTCCCAAATCCATAGAAATGAATGTTCCAACATAGGTCTGTAACCCAAGCACTGAAGGAAACAGAAACAGAAGGAAGTCTTGGTCTTGCTAGCTGCCAGAATAGGTCCATTATGCAAGATCCATGTTCAGTGAGAGATCCTGCCTCAAAAACCAGGTGGAGAGTAACAGAGGATGGTGATCTCCTCTAACCTTCTCACATGTATATGTGTATAGTTGTATGCACCTGCACATATACATGCACATAGAACACAGACACAGACACAGACACAGCCCTGGGTTCAATTCCCAGTACTGAGAAGAAAGAAAAGAAAGGAGAAAAACATAAACTGTAGAGTAGTGGGCATGTTGTGATACCATGCATATGAACTTACACACACACACACACACACACACACACACACACACACGAAAATACAAAAGAGTAAATGCCATGAACTCCAGCATTAACATAGAAAATTAGTCAAGCCAAGAATCAGATCAGCAGCAGGGGCTGGGGATGGTCTTAACACCCTTCACTAAACTGCTTATGCTTGTAATGAATAAACAATAGAATACTGTGTGCTGCACATAAACCAATGTATTTTTCCTGCCTTTGGTCCTGGTCACACTATGCTGTACTGGTGATCCTTTAAAAAAAGTGTATGAAAGCTATTATTTCCCTCATTTCCCAACCCCAGTAATTCTAAAGTCAAGACATAACACATGATAAAAATGGTAGCTGAATGAATTTCACTTTTATTACTCAAGAGAAATTTAAACAAAAAATCCTGACAACTTGGAAGGAGCTTGCTCATGAGCTCAAGTTTCCTCTAAAAATAGACAGTTACATCATTTATTTGGTACATAAATTTATTACATCTTGCCACTTGGCTGAGAGGCAGACTGAGTAGATTCATTATCTCTTTGTTTAGGCTTTTCTTAGGAGGTATCAGCCCTCTGCACTCTCTATTTCCTCCAAACCCTGATCTGAATATATCTCTGTTATGAAGTTCTCATATAGCTTTTACATGCGTCCTACTTTGCATCCAAGTTATTTGCATTGTGCCTTATCTTTCCCTGGGGAAGAAACTGACTATCATTGCCCCAGGCCTCAGATACAGGTAGGGTCTCCCTAACTAGTTG